TAGTGCTGTTACTTAGGAATTCACCCAGCTTTCGCAGCCTCAGTTTCCTACTTTGTCAATTGGAAGCAGCCTTCCTCTTCCTTTGCTCTTGCCGCTGGATCTGAGCAAGTGTGTGGACTGGGCAACCTCACCTCAGCTTCTGCCTGGATTGCCCTGCCACACTCCCCACCCCCTTCTGCCCTGAGGAGTGCTCTGAGTGCTGCCCCAGTTTTTAGGCTTCCTGGTCTGGAGGCAGTGCTGCAGGAGAGACTGATAGACAGGTCTGTCCGGGTTGTGCTGATCCAGTGACCAACACCCTGTGCCTGCTCATAATTCTTTCATTATGGATCTAGCCTGGCTTTCTGGATACTACCGTGAACCAGACTCCTCTAATCACACTGGGTGGGATGAGGTGGTGATTCATCTCCAGGCACTGGGCCCAGCCTTCAGAGAGCTTTCCTTGGTGCCTGGTTGCCCTGTCTCTGACTCAAGCATAGAAAAGGAGCCCCAAGCTGGCTCACAGAGATTGTACAAGGTGTGTAGGGGTCTCTTTCTTCCCCCCACTGAAGTCCTGTCTGACTTGAACAGACACAGCACCAGGTCACACTCACTCAAATGAACTAAAATCCAACCATTCTGAGTCTCAGCCTGGGGGTGTTAGAGATTTGTTCTTAACGCTAGGAGACTGGCCTTCTGGTAGATAGCTAGAAGACTGGCCCTCAGATATCCATCCACATAACCCCAACTTCACGCCCTTCTTCAAAAGAGATACTTACTTGGGGGGTAACTTGGAGAGGGAGAAAGAATTTATTAATGAAAGAATCATCAGCTTTTTAAGAAGCTAGCTAAATATGCTTGTGTTTGGCCCTGTTTTTTTTTTGTTGTTGTTGTTGTTCAGGAAAGCATCAGTCAGTCTCTTCTCTGGGAGTAGAAATGGTGAAAGGAGAGTATGAGCCTGCTTGCTAGAATTCCAGGGTTCAGGGACAAGGCTAGAGAATCTAGAGCTGCAACCCAGTATTGCCCTGTGTTGACTTAGGAGCCTCATGTTGACTAGTGTTCCACCTGTCTCTGAGGTTGAAATTTCCTAGTTCAAATTTCACAGAAAATAGCCTTACTTTGTGTGGTTAGAGCAGAAAGAGAAGTCATCCATTGGCTCAGGACATGGGTGTGGGGAGATGCGGGGTACCACTGCTCAGCAAGTCTCTCATGGAGCCCCTCGATGGAGGCTTCCTTGCGCCTCACTCTCCCTTCTCGGGTAAGATGACAGTGGGTGCTTCTCTGTGTTGAAACTTGTGGGATTTCATGGCTAGATCAGGTTCCTTGACACTTCAGTTTCTTTTTCTCCTTGCTGAGTGGATTAAATTGCTGAGTGGATTAAACTTTAAAAAATGTGTGGGTTTTTTTTTTTTTTTTTTTTTGCTATTTGGCTGAGTTTTTGTTTTGTTTATTTTTTGTCTTTTAAAAAATAGACTGTCCCTGCTTTCAGGAACCCAAGGCAGGAGGTTCATAAGTTCATGAAAAGGAAAAAGGATTGTTTCCTTACCACGGGACTGGTTGTGTTGTACTTTTCTTTTCTTTGCCCACATCTTGAAGTTCAGGGACCGTTCAATACATATTGGAAGCTGCCTGATAAAACCTTACTTTCCTACCTACTCTTAGCTTTCATTCTGCACTCTTATAAGTTGCTGAAGAAAGGAAACTGGAACCACTTCACTTTCTTTGAGTCTAGAGTGTGCAGCAGATGTCAGTATCTGGCTCCTAGATCGGAGCAGTTTGCAGGTTGTCTTTACTCTTGTTGTGTGCCCGGTCTGCTGTCCAAGCAGCAGGGCAGATGCTGAGCATTATCAGGTCCTACTGTTGTTCCGATTCTTGTTTTAAGAAAGGACAGTATTAGTTTTCCCTTTCTGATCTGCAGTGCCGGGATGTCAAACTGGAGCCACACATACTATGTCGGCCCTCTACCACTGGGCCACACCTGGTTTTCTTTTTCTAAGAGTTTCCTAGGTAAGCATATTGTGTCTCTATAGTGAGTCAACTATTTTGAAGGAACCCAAAATTGAAGCTTATTGAATCAAGGCACTAAGTCACAGCAATGGATACATTAGAGAAAAATGAAGGATGGGAGATATTAATACTATGCATATTAGATTGGAAGTTAGTCATTCAAGACCACATGCATAGTCAAAAGAGAGAAACCATAAGTGGCCAGTGAAAGCTTAAATGGTTCTTAGTAATAAGCTGGCAAAGGAAAGAAATACAGCCATTAGGAAGAGTCAACTGACCCCCCCCCCATTTTGAACCATTTTGTGTTTCAAAAATGCCTATAAGATATATCTTTGCCGGGCGGTGGTGGACATTCCTTTAATTCCAGCACTCGGCAGGCAGAGGCAGGAGGATCTCTGTGATTTCTACATCAGCCTGGTCTACAAGAGCTAGTTCCAGGACAGCCTCCAAAGCCACAGAGAAACCCTGCCTTGAACCACCCTCCCTCCTCCTCAAAACATATATCTTTGTAAAGTGTATTGCATTGTGTTCATAGCATCATTTTGTCTAGGTGTCTATGGGGGTGCACATGCATTTAGAAGCCATAAGTCAATGTTAGCTGTCTTCCTTGATTGCTTTCCACCCTTTTTTTTTTGAGACTTGCTAACCAGTGAGCTCCAGAGATCTGCCTGTCTCTCTCTCCTCAGTGCTAACATTTCAGACAGGACCTGCCATACCCCATGCTGGTGATCCGAACTCAGGTCCTCATGCTTGCATGGCAGGGACCTTACTGACTGACCCATCTTCCAGCCCCCCATTATGTTTTCAGTCTTAAAGTTTATTAGACTGTGGCACTGACGAGATAGCAACTGCTCTTGAAGACGACCCAAGTTCTGTTCCCAGCACCCAGGCCTGGTGGCTTACAACCTTCTGTGACTCCAGCTCCAAGGGATCCAGTTTCCTCTTCTGAACTCTGTGGGTACCTGCACACAGCACTTTCTCCCACATAAATGCACACATATAACCACAGTTAGAAATATAAAGTAAATCTTCAAACATTTTAATAAAAAAGTGCTTTAGTGTAAAATTTAGCCTTTAAAAAATGTTTAGAAATGGGATATAGTAAGGGCATAGTGCCAAAACTCAGTCGAGCGATAGCCCGTTTCCTAGGATACTTCAAGGTGTGGTAATCAGTAGGGAATAATCTGAAATCTGACAGTTTGACATAGTCTTGAAGGTCCTCTGTGGCCTTTTCTCCATCAGTCTTTACAATATGCCTCATCTACCAATCCTGTCTTCACACACCAGGTCATCCCTGCCTGCGTGCCTTTGCTTTCTGACCCCATGGTTTGGTTCTTCTTCCTCCAGGTAGCTTCGGCATAAGCTTTGCCCCTTCCAGGTGTTTCTTGGCTATCAGCTTACAGAAAGGACTTCCCAAAGCTCCCTTTAAAAAACAAACAAACAAACAAACAAACAAAAAAGCAACATAGCTGAGTGTTTGCTACAGGTAGGTTCCAGTTCCAGTAACCAAGTCTAACAAATCCAATAACTTAACAGAAAAACTTAACCTCACAGTTCCGGAGGCTGTGGAGTCCAAAATGAAGATTCCAATCCCTGGGCTGTAGAGATGGTAAAAGTAGGAACTATTCTTGTAGAGGACCTAAGTTTAGTTCCCAGCACCCTTGTCAGGCAGCTCACAAGTGCCTGTAACTCCAGACTAGTGGGATCCAACACCTCTGGCCTCCTTGACATTCACACACCAAGACACAAAATTTCACAAACCCACACCAAGACACAAAATTTAAAATAATAAAATCTTTAAAAATTAAAAATATTCTAGTCTTATTTACTCACATGGTACAAAGAGAAAGATTGCCATACTTTTCTCTTTTTTAAAAATTAGTTATTATTTATGTGTATATGTAGGATACTGCAGAGCCCAGAGAGGCTATTGGAGCCAGTGGCACTGGAGTTAGAGGCAGTTGTGAGCCCCCATGCAGGTGCTGGGCAACAAATGCAGATCTTCTGCTAAAGCAGTAAGTGACCTTAACTGCTAAGCCATCTTTCCAGCTTGTCTCTTCATATCAGGGTACTGATCTGCAAGAACAGTGAGTGTTCTTAACCACTGAATCCTCTCTCCATCTCTTTCTTCTTGCTCTGTTCCTCCTGGGATACCTGCCTCCCCCCTTACTGTGTTTACTTTTTAAATTGGTAGACAGGTTGAACTCAGATAGTTGCCTGCTTCTGCCTTCTAAATGCTAGGATTAAAGGTGTAGGCAACCACACTCATCCCTTCCACCTTCTTCTTGAGACAGGGTCTCTCCCTGGTTTGAGGCTCACCTATTGGATTAGGCTGCCTGTCTTCACCTTCACAGCGCTGGAATTACAAGTGCATGCACCACGCCTGACTTGTAAACTATCTTCAGGGAACTGAAGTCAGATCTTCATGCTTCACAGCAAGTGCTTGACCAACTGAGCTATCTGCCTGCTTCATCA